TCGCCCCCCCCTAACCCCCCCCCCTTCTAGCGTCCAACTTACGTGCGCAGCCCAGGTTATTGGCAGGAGAGAATATGGTGCTTCCACGTACGTGCGTGTGGCTGGTATGTCATAGCGAAACGGTTGGCGACGAGCTAAGACACGACTTGGGCGCACGCACCAGGCTGCAACTTGCGGCTGGAGGGGGAGGCTTCGCCCCCCCCCCCTCCCCCCCCCCCCCCCCTCTTCTAGCGTCCAACTTACGTGCGCAGCCCAGCTTATTGGCAAGAGAGAAGATGGTGCTTGAGCGTGCGTGCGTGTGGCTGGTATGTCATAGTGAAACCGTTGGCGACGACTAAGACACGACTTGGGCGCACGCTCCAGGCACCCCCCCCCCTTCTAGCGTCCAACTTACGTGCGCAGCTCAGGTTATTGGCAAGAGAGAATATGGTGCTTGAGCGTACGTGCGTGTGGCCGGTACGTCATAGCGAAACGGTTGGCGACGAGCTAAGACACGACTTGGGCGCACGCACCAGGCTGCAACTTGCGGCTGGAGGGGGAGGCTTCGCCCCCCCCCCTCCCCCCCCCCCCCCCTCTTCTAGCGTCCAACTTACGTGCGCAGCCCAGCTTATTGGCAAGAGAGAAGATGGTGCTTGAGCGTGCGTGCGTGTGGCTGGTATGTCATAGCGAAACGGTTGGCAACGAGCTAAGACACGACTTGGGCGCACACTTCAGGCTGCAACTTGCGGCTGGAGGGGGGGGGGGGGGGCTTCGCCCCCCCCCTACCCCCCCCCCTTCTAGCGTCCAACTTACGTGCGCAGCCCAGCTTATTAGCAAGAGAGACGATGGTGCTTGAGCGTACGTGCGTGTGGCTGGTATGTCATAGTGAAACGGTTGGCGACGAGCTAAGACACGACTTGGGCGCACGCTCCAGGCACCCCCCCCCCCCTTCTAGCGTCCAACTTACGTGCGCAGCCCAGCTTATTGGCAAGAGAGAATATGGTGCTTGAGCGTACGTGCGTGTGGCTGGTATGTCATAGCGAAACGGCTGGCGACGAGCTCATATACGACTTGGGCGCACGCACCAGGCTGCAACTTGCGGCTGGAGGGGGGGAGCTTCGCCCCCCCCTAACCCCCCCCCTCCCCCTTTTAGCGTCCAACTTAAGTGCACAGCCCAGCTTACTGACAAGAGAGAAGATGGTGCTTGAGCGTGCGTGTGTGTGGCTTGTAGGTCATAGTTAATTAGTTGGCGACAAGCTCAGACACGAGTTGGATGTACACACCAGGCTGCATCGTTTGCTTCTTCCATTACTACACTAATGGGCGTGTCCGAAGGAAGATATGTCGGAAACGTCCCTTTCTTATCCTGTTGGACAAGAAACAAATCATTCTGTATATGGTGACGGTTGGTGCGGGCAGCAACAGGGTTGGGCTCTAAGCCGCCGGTAACATTGCGAGCGCATTTCTGGCAAAGGCAGAAGACCTTTCCCTGTCCGCCCGTCATTGTCATAGCTGAACCTAGCAACAAGACTAAAACAAGAACCAACAGCACCATTGCATATCCTTGCCAAGTCTGTAAGCTTTGTCGATTTGAGCCATTAAGGCCATTATGTGTAAAGCTAGCACGCGGCATTTATAAACATAGTAAAGAAAACATATTACGATTGACTATTGGACTGGCAAACTGGCGAAAGCGAGCAGGTCAGATATGAGACTTGACAGGTCCTGTCAAGTCTCAACTGCCGTACACATTTCGCTAGAATTGTGTAGTGTCTACTGTAACTTTCGCATTCTACTGTAACTAAACAGGAACAGTATACATATTGTAACACTTTAGTCAAGAACCTTTTGCGGAGCATAACAGCCAAACGATTTAGGGACTGACACTGACACCTTTCAAACACTAGTAGTTTATGTTGGTAATGATACGTGCAAAATGACATTTTCTGTTTTCCTTACTTTTGGTCAAACCGCCACGAATCGTAATTAAACGAGACTCTTTTTAACAACATTGAATGTTGATATGCTCAGACACGACTTGGGCGCACACACCAGGCTGCAACTTGCGGCTGAAGGGGGGGGGCTTCGCCCCCCACCTACCCCCCCCCCCCCTAGCGTCCAACTTACATGCGCAGCCCAGGTTATTGGCAAGAGAGAATATGGTGCTTGAGCGTACGTGCGTGTGGCTGGTACGTCATAGCGAAACGGTTGGCGACGAGCTCATATACGACTTGGGCGCACACACCAGGCTGCAACTTGCGGCTGGGAGGGGGGGGCTTCGCCCCCCCCCTAAATCCCCCCCCTTCTAGCGTCTACCTTACGTGCGCAGCCCAGGTTGTTGGCAAGAGAGAAGATGGTGCTTGAGTGAACGTGCGTGCGGCTGCTACATCATAGCAAAACGGTTGGCGACGAGCTCAGACACGACTTGGGCGCACACACCAGGCTGCAACTTGCGGCTGGGAGGGGGGGGCTTCGCCCCCCCCCCCCTAAATCCCCCCCCTTCTAGCGTCTACCTTACGTGCGCAGCCCAGGTTGTTGGCAAGAGAGAAGATGGTGCTTGAGTGAACGTGCGTGCGGCTGCTACATCATAGCAAAACGGTTGGCGACGAGCTCAGACACGACTTGGGCGCACACACCAGGCTGCAACTGGCTGCAACTGCAACGTACGCAAGCAGCCTGGCTTATTAGCAAAGTAAGGTTGATGCTCAAGCGGCGTTAAGCAGAAAACCGAGAAGGGCGCACACACCAAGCTGCAGCTCGTGGCTGGAGGGGCAAAATGCCATTTTTTGGTTTTTTCGTGTTTATGGACTAATCGCCACGAATCACAAACCAATGCGAGTGTTTATAACAACATTGAATCAGTACGATCTGACCCGAGTTGGGCTTGCAAGTCAGGCTGCAACTTTCGGCTAGCCCCTTCTAGAGTGCAACTTCCATGCGGCTGCTACACTCGCAGCCCGGCTAATTAGCAAGAGAGAAGTTGGTGCTTGAGCGTGCGTGCGGCTGGTGTCTCATATGGAAACGTTTGGTAACAAGCAGAGACCCAAGAATGGCGCCGGGCTGCGAGTGTAAGTTGGACGCGAGAAAAGGGGGGGGGGGGGTTAGGGGGGGGGCGAAGCCCCCCCCCCCCCCCTCCAGCCGCGAGATGCAGCCTGGTGTGTACACCACGAATCGCAATTAAACGAGACTCTTTCTAACAACATTGAATGTTGATATGCTCAGACACGACTTTGGCGCACACACCAGGCTGCAACTTGCGGCTGGAGGGAGGGGGGGGTTGCAGGCAGGGCTTGCAACACCCGGGGCTGTGTTGCAACACCTGCGTACACCTGGGGAGGGCTTGTAACAAGGTGGAAGGGCTTGCCGCAGGGGCAAACGTTTTTGCCACATGGCTGGCAACACGTGGCTCATGCAAGACAGGTGCTTGCTGGTGGGACATCGGGCAATCTATGAGGGTTTGGTATGCATGCGGTACTCGACGGAGGAGTTGAACCTCAGAAAGCGGCCTTCCGCAAAGAGTAGCTTGCATAAATGATGCAGGGTGTAAGGCATGCAGCAGTACTGGTCGAGGTGCAAGATAGGGGTGGCATGAAAGAGTGCTTAGGGAACAACATGCATCGAGGAGAGGCTGAATGGACTGTAGGCTGTTGTGCAACTGTCTGCATATCTTGATGAGGGCGGGCTAGGGAGGAGGCAAGTGTGCAGGAAGGTAGTGTTGGGGCTGGCAGGAACGGATGCAGTGCCGACCCATACAACAAACAGCTGTCTGCATATGTGTCTTACCTTCATGCGGGGGCTGCTAGCGGGCTAGCGGCCAAATGCTCCTTGTCTCCGCCCTCCGATGCTTCCTACAGCACGAGGGGAGGCCTGCATGTGTCAAAGGGAGGAAGGGAAAAGCGCGGGGGAACGAGAAGGAGAGCAATCTGCAGCGGGGGTGGCGGCAGGGAAGGACGCGCTAAGCAAGGAGAGGGTAGACTTGCAGCGGGGACAGCACGTGCGCATGCAATGTTGCGGGTAAGAGGGAGGGCTAGGGAGGAGGCAAGTGTGCAGCAGGATTGGGCCATGGGTGAAGCAGGAAGGGTTGGGGCTGGCAGGAAGGGATGCAGCGCCCACCTATACAACAAACAGCTGTTCGCATATGTGTCTTACCTTCATGCGGGGGCTGCTAGCGGGCTAGCGGCCAAATGCTCCTTGTCTCCGCCCTCCGATGCTTCCTATAGCACGAGGGGAGGCCTGCATGCGTCAAAGGGAGGAAGGAAAAAGCGCGGGGGAACGAGAAGGACAGCAATCTGCAGCGGGGGTGGCGGCAGGGAAGGACGCGCTAAGCAAGGAGAGGGTAGACTTGCAGCGGGGACAGCACATGCGCATGCAATGCTGCGGGTAAGAGGGCGGGCTAGCGCGGGCCATGGGGGAAGCAGGAAGGGTTGGGGCTGGCAGGAACGGATGCAGTGCCGAACTAAACAACGAACAGCTGTCTGCACATGTTGTCTTACCTCCATGCGGGGGCTGCTAGCGGGCTAGTGGCCAAACGCTCCTTGTCCCCGCCCTCCGCTTCCTACAACACGAGGGGAGGCCTGCATGCGTCAAAGGGAGAAAGGGAAAGGCGCGGGGGAAGGAGAAGGAGAGCAATCCGTGGCGGGGGTGGCGGCAGGGAAGGACGCGCTAAATTAAAAGAGGGTAGACTTGCAGCGGGGACAGCACATGCGCATGCAATGCTGCGGGTAAGAGGGCGGGCTAGGGAGGATGCAAGTGTGCAGTGGGATTGGGCCATGGGGGAAGCAGGAAGGGTTGGGGCTGGCAGGAACGGATGCAGTGCCGAACTAAACAACGAACAGCTGTCTGCACATGTTGTCTTACCTCCATGCGGGGGCTGCTAGCGGGCTAGTGGCCAAGTGCTCCTTGTCCCCGCCCTCCGATGCTTCCTACAGCACGAGGGGAGGCCTGCATGCGTCAAAGGGAGTAAGGGAAAGGCGCGGGGGAAGGAGAAGGAGAGCAATCCGCGGCGGGGGTGGCGGCAGGGAAGGACGTGCTAAGCAAGGAGAGGGCAGGCTCGCAGCGGGGACAGCACATGCGCATGCAATGCTGCGGGTAAGAGGGCGGGCTAGAGAGGAGGCAAGTGTGCAGCAGGATTGAGCCATGGGGGCAGCAGGAAGGGTTGGGGCCGGCACAAACGGATGCAGCGCCGACATACACAACAAACAGCTGTCTGCGAAGTTGTCTTACCTCCATGCGGGGGCTGCTAGCGGGCTAGTGGCCAAATGCTCCTTGTCCCCGCCCTCCGAAGCTTCCTACAACAAGAGGGGAGGCCTGCATGCGTCAAAGGGAGGAAGGGAAAAGCGCGGGGGAACGAGAAGGAGAGCAATCCGCGGCGGGGGTGGCGGCAGGGAAGGACGCGCTAAGCAAGTAGAGGGCGGACTTGCAGCGGGGTCAGCACGTGCGCATGCAATGCCGCGGGTAAGAGGGCGGGTTAGGGAGGAGGCAAGTGTGCAGCAGGATTGGGCCATGGGTGAAGCAGGAAGGGTTGGGGCTGGCAGGAAGGGATGCAGCGCCGACCTATACAACAAACAGCTGTTCGCATATGTGTCTTACCTCCATGCGGGGGCTGCTAGCGGGCTAGCGGCCAAATGCTCCTTGTCTCCGCCCTCCGATGCTTCCTACAGCACGAGGGGAGGCATGCATGCGTCAAAGGGAGGAAGGGAAAAGCGCGGGGGAAGGAGAAGGAGAGCAATCCGCGGCGGGGGTGGCGGCAGGGAAGGACGAGCTAAGCAAGGAGAGGGCAGGCTCACAGCAGAGACAGCATGCGTGCATGCAATCGTGGTGAGGAAAGGAGAAGGAGAGCAATCTAATGGGGTGGTGGCGGGCAGAGATAAGGAAGGCATATGGCAAAGACGGCATATGCACCTGCACTGCAGGTACGAAAGTGGATTGGGAGGAGGGGGGGGGGGGCAGTGCGGTCCAGAAGGAGGGCCAGCAAAGAAACACTTACAAGACCCGGTTCTTGCTCAGGGCAGTTACCCTGCTGCTACCCAACACATAGGCACCCAAGCCGCAGCCGCCTGAGACAGACGTCTGCACCGCTGCCACCTGAGCAGCTGCCGCACGAGCTGCTATCCCCAGAGCTGCTACCGCCTGATTCGTTGCCACCTGAGCTGCTACTTGCTTCTAGCTTACCTGTGATGGCGAAGGAAGACATCAGTCGCTTGGGCACAAAAGGTCGCCATTGTCATAAGAATGGACACATCTTCACCACCTGTCCCAAGCTACATGTCCAGGGCTTGTGCATACATTGTCCGGCCGTCATCGCACAGGTGCATTAGGGCCTAAGCTTTGGCTATCAAGTGCAGGTGCCAGAGCAAACTAGCTGCCGAGTATTCTCCATAAGGCTCCACGCGCAATGCACAGTCACTATTGCTAATACGGTCGCTGCTCCTGGATGCCAGAATGGCAATGCTAGGTCAGCACCAAGAAATGTATGTTTGCAGGTGGAATGGCTTTTGTAATGTCTTTTGCATTTGGTACATGACACAGAGCCGTCGCTGTGTAACAAGACAGCCAATATCGTGTAACCGCGACCAGTTTGCTTAAAGGAAGAGCATCCATTGTCCCCTAAGACAGTGTAAGGTTATGCAGTATCCTAAAGATAGCAAGGCTGTTTGGATTTCCGGCTAGTTGTCTACTAGGATCCCAAAAGACGACTTCACACGTCGTCTTTAAGTACGGCACTATACTTCTTGTCCTTATACAAAAGCTCGTCATCTACCTGACAAAACAGCAAGACATTATGTGCTGCCCGTTATGTTTATGCTTCGACCCAATGGTTAGCCGACCAAACAGGGCACCACCACACTGCAATGCCGACGCTGTTACTGCTTCACACTACCGCATAAATCTTCCGCACATATAAATACGGCGGATGACAACGGGTGCCTGGGGATGCCGGGCTTAACTAGTGCAAGGGTAGTAGGAGAAGGATGTCGCACCTCGCTTTTCCACAGCTTTGAAAGGTAACAGAAAATAAAACTCGCAGGAGTATCAAAGCTGGTTGTGCTGTTGGCATAACTCGGCAAACAATGCCCTTCAAAAAGACGACGTCTGACGTCACTTTTCAAGTACGGCATTCACACGACTTGCCCTTATACTCCAGCGACAGTGTTGGGTCGCCGACAGAAGATAACGGTACGTACTCACATTCACGCCATTGCTTGGGTACAGACAGTTGAACTGCAAACCAAAACTTAATACACCGCAATGCGAAAGGTACTTTCGACAACCACTACACCCACATACAAACCAAGGCGTTATACATAGGATTTACAAAGTCTAATGGTATATATATTGAATTAAAGGGGCTGCTTGCAGTCCAGCAATGACAACGGTGTCTTACACTGACTGGCATGCGTGTCGCAAAAGACCAGAATACGTTATCGAATTTTAATTGTCGTATATCTTGCTATGTGGCGCCGAAGTAACGTAGGAGGCCCACGCCAAAGAGCACCACAGGCGAGTGCGATTCAGCCCCACTCCCAGGGATGGAGTCACCTGCCCGACTTGCACACGGATAAAAGTACGTCCAGCCACTTTAAGGAAATACATTAGCATTAATACCCTGTCGGAAGCCAGTTGGCTGTATAAGGTGGATGAGACCGAGTGGGAGGGGCTGTTTGAAACAGGCTGGGTCAAATGACACATCCCCTCGTCCCATTTCACCAAGACACACATATATGTACCCACGCTGTACTCGGCCCCTTGCCCCGTGCAACCCAGGCAGGAACGCATGCCGGCCCTCCAACAGTACTCACCCCCTTGCCCCGTGCAACCTGCATACGCATGCACGCAATCCTGCTTCACGCGCCCCATCGCCCCCTGCAACTCAGACACGCATGCATGCAAGCACTCCCACATTAGTCGCCCCATCGCCCCAAGCAACTCAGACACGCATGCATGCAAGCACTCCCACATTACTCGCTCCGTCGCCCCATGCACCTCAGACACGCATGCATGCAAGCACTCCCTCATTCCTCAACCCATCGCCCCATGCTACTCAGACCCGCACGCATGCAAGCACTCCCACATTACACGTCCCCTCGCCCCTTGTAGCCCCCACACGCATGCAAGGCACCCCCGCTTTACTCGCCTATTCGCCCCATGCAACCCACGCATGCGTGCATGCCAGCACTCTCACAGTACTCGCCCCCTCGTCCCGTGCAACCCACACACACGTGCACGCACCCCCGCTTCAAGCGCCCCCTCGAACTCAGACACACATGCATGCAAGCACTCCAACATTACTCGCCCCATCGCCCCATGCTACTCAGACCCGCACGCATGCAAGCACTCCCACATTACACGTCCCCTCGACCCTTTTAGCCCCCACACGCATGCAAACACCCCCGCTACTCGCACCCTCACTCCAAGCAACCCACGCACGCGCACATGCAAGCACTTCCACCATACTCACCCCCTTGCCCCGTGCAGCCTGCTCACCACACATGCACGCATTCCCACTTCACGCCCCCTCGCCCCATGCAACCCACACACGCACGCATGCAAGCATCCCAACTTTACTCGCCACATTGACCCATGCAACTCAGACACGCATGCATGCAAGCACTACCACATTCATGTCCAATTGTCCCATTTAGCCCACACAAACATATGTGTACCCCCGCTTTACTCGGCCCCATCGCCCCTTGTCGCCCCCACACACATGCACGCACTCCCGCTTCCCACGCCCCCTCGCCACCTGCAACCCACACACGCACGCATGCAAGCGCCCCCACTTTGATCGCCGCCTCGTTCCGTGCAACCCACACACGCATGCAAGCACCCCCGCTGTATTTGCCCCCTCACTCCATGCAATCCAGGCAGGAACGCATGCAATCCTGCTTCAAGCGCCCCCTCGCCCCATGCAACTCAGACATGCATGCATGCAAGCACTCCCACATTACTCGCCCCATCACCCCAAGCAACTCAGACCCGCACGCATGGAAGCACTCCCACATTACACGTCCCCACAACCCATTTAGCCCACACACACATACGCGTACCCCCACTTTACTCGTCCCCTCGCCCCATACAATTCACACACGCACGCGTGCCAGCACTCTCACAATACTCGCACCCTCGTCCCGTGCAACCCACACACACATGCACGTGCGTGTGCTTCACGCGCCTCCTCGCCACCAGCAACCCACACACGCACGCATGCGAACGCCCCCACATTGATCGCCGCCTCGTCCCGTGCAACCCACACACACATGCACGTGCGTGTGCTTCACGCGCCTCCTCGCCACCAGCAACCCACACACGCACGCATGCGAACGCCCCCACATTGATCGCCGCCTCGTCCCGTGCAACCCACACACGCATGCACACACCCCCGCTTCAAGCGCCCCCTCGCCCCATGCAACTCAGACACGCATGCATGCAAGCACTCCCTCATTCCTCAACCCATCGCCCCATGCTACTCAGACCTGCACGCATGCAAGCACTCCCACATTACACGTCCCCTCGCTCCTTGTAGCCCCCACACGCCTGCCTGCAAGCACCCTCACTTTACTCGCCTACTCACCCCATGCAACCCACGCACGCGCGCATGCCAGCACTCTCACAGTACTCGCCCCCTCGTCCCGTGCAACCCACACACGCATGCACACACCCCTGCTAGAAGCACCCCCTCGCCCCATGCAACTCAGACACGCATGCATGCAAGCACTCCCACATTACTCGCTCCATCGCGCCATGCAACTCAGACACGCATGCATGCAAGCACTCCCTCATTCCTCAACCCATCGCCCCATGCTACTCAGACCCGCACGCATGCAAGCACTCCCACGTTACACGTCCCCTCGCCCCTTGTAGCCCCCACACGCATGCAAGTACCCCCGCTTTACGCGCCCCTTCACCCTATGCAACCCACGCACGCGCGCATGCCAGCACTCTCACAGTACACGTCCCCTCTTCCTGTGCGGCCCACACACGCATGCACGCACTCCCGCTTCAAGCGGCCATTCGGCCCATGCAACCCACACACGCACGCATGCAAGCGCTCCCACACTACTCGCCCCCTTGCCCCGTGTAGCCTGCACACGCATGCGCGCACGCCCACTTCACGCGCCCCCTCGCCCCATGCAAACCACACACGAACGCATGCAAGCCAGCACTCCCACAGTACTCGCCCCCACGTCCGGTGCAACCCACACACGCTCAACATTCCCGCTTCAAGCGCCCCCTCGCCACATGCAACCCACGCACGCAAGCATGTAAGCCGAACGCATGAGCACTCCCACATTACTCGCTCCATGCCCCATGCAACCTGCACACCCATGCACGCACGCAATCCTGCTTCACGTGCCCCCTCGCCCCATGCAACCCACACACGCACGCCCCATGCAACCCATACATGCACACCTTCAAGAGTCGCCACTTTACTCGCCACCTCACAACCTGAAACCCACACATGAATGCAACCACCCCCGCTTTTCTTGCCCCCTCACTCCATGCAAACCAAGCACGAACGCATGCAAGCACTCCCACAATACTTGACCCCTTGCCCCGTGCAACCTGCATACGCATGCATGCATTCCCACTTCACGCGCTCCCTCGCCCCGTGCAACCCACACATGCACGAATGCCAGCCCTCCCACTTAACTCGCCCCATCGCCCCTTCAAGCCCCCACACACATGCAATCACCCCCGCTTTACTCGCCCCTTTTACCCCATGTAACCCAAGCACGAATGCATGCACGCACTCCCACAGTACTCGCCCCCTCGCCCCATGCAACACAGACCCGCACGCATGCAAGCACTCCCACTTTACACGTACCCTCACCCCGTGTAGCCTCCACACCTTCCTCTAACAGATGTTGTTTGGTTGATGCCAGATTTAGGTTACAAATCAATGTGGGCTCAAACAAGGCTGCGTACTTTGCCCTCTGATGCTAAGGTACCCAGCGTGACTCGGTGATTTAGTGACTTTTCACTCAATGCATTGCTGCCAATATCAATCTGCCTCAAGGCCACACAATCCACCTCAAACTGCATCAAACGGTTGTGAGCAAACTAAATCAAAACGGCTTCTGGGAGTGCTACTCACCCCATCGGCCCATCCAACTCAGACCCGCATGCATGGATGCACATTACACGACCCCTCGTTCCGTGCCGCCCACACATACACACGTGTACCCCCACTTTACTCGGCCCCTCGTCCACAGTAGGCCCTACACGCACGCATGCAAGCGCCCCCACTTTTCTCGCCGCCTCGCCACCTTCAACCCACACAAACATGCACTCACTCCAGCTTCAAGCGCCCCTCACCCCATGCAACCCACACACTCACGCCTACAAGCGCCCCCACATCACTCGCCAACTCGCCACATGCAACCCACACACGCATGCAGGCAACCCCGCTTTACTTGCCCCCTCACCCGTTGTAGCCCCCGCGCGCATGCAAGCACCCCCGCTTTACTTGCCCCGCAAATTGTGCAAGCTCTACACACACCCTCGCGTCATGCATGAGCACACAGCCCAGGACATGTGCAAAGGAAAGCAAAAAAGGGACGACACCATCCTAAACCCAAACCCCACCCAAACTCTACACCACGCCCCACACAAGTTGCGACGGCCCCCCCCAGGCGTGCCCCGCCATGTTCACAAAAGT